GGTGTGTGACAGTGTTGAAGGTGATCTGAATTGTATCAGATGTATAAATATGACATGTGTATAACTTATTGTTTTTACTGGTAAAAACGTGTAATGGAGATAAATCTACCTACATTTTACTTTTCAACACTTTGTTTTGTTTTCTTGTTTTTATTCAACTATATTTTCCTGTCCTGTCTGTCTCTCATCTTCCTGCATCTCCTCTAAACTCTCCAGAAAATCTGCTGCCTGGATTCTTACTTTTTCACCTCATCAGTTACTTTTGAGCAGATCAAAGATCTCCTAACCGCAAAGCGCAGAGCGCGTTTTTGATGCTGTGTGAGGTGAAATCACCGCAGCACAGGTGATGAGCTCCGCAGTAGCGCGCTTCAGGCACAAATAAGACAGAAAATAGAGAGCATGTGCAGACATGAACGATCGTGTGCTAATTATAGTTTTTTGGTTGCGCCACTTTGAGAATGGACCATGCGCTGGAAGCAGCTGCCTGGATCGCAGCGCAACAATGCGGAACCGGTTCGCAGCAGCAAGTCTGCCGGCTCTCCCTCGCGCTGATCTGCGGCTCTCCCTCGCGCTGATCTGCGGCTCTCCCTCGCGCTGATCTGCCGGCTCTCCCTCGCGCTGATCTGCGGCTCTCCCTCGCGCTGATCTGCCGGCTCTCCCTCGCGCTGATCTGCGGCTCTCCCTCGCGCTGATCTGCGGCTCTCCCTCGCTCGCGCTGATCTGCGGCTCTCCCTCGCGCTGATCTGACTTGCTCTGGTCTGCGCGCAACGGCGGGCGGGAAGGGGGGGGGGGGGGGGGGGCGCTTTTGGAAGAGTTGTGCGACACAACGAATCGATGACGCAATTCGTTGCCAACGCTTTTAGTAATCGATTTTCATCGAATTTATCGATTCGTTGTTGCAGCCCTACCCACTTCCATTTTTAAACTGCACTTAGACACTGAGGGCTGTGGGTGCAAGTGGGGTGGGGTGGTGGCATCAGCTGGCATAGGCCAGATGATGCCCACACTGCCCGCTCACCACAGCCATAGAATACACCTCATCAATATGCACTAACACTATTTTGGAGCAGGCGGAGGGAGACTAAAGCTTAGCACACCCCTGTGGTTGCTTGGCTTCCTGGGGCTGGAGGCTAGGAGGGAGATCTGGCCATCTGGTTGGGGTCTGGGGTGGTGGGTTGCTTTGCTCAGCGTTGGGCGGGGGAGCCTGCTCATCAGCACCCCAGCAGAAAGGGTCAAACTCTGGTAACCGGTGATGGTTGTACCCCATGTGCAGCAGTACCGGGACCAGAGTGGATAGGGTGTGTATGGGGAGCATAAGTGGGTGTCCGGCATGCATTTTTTAAGTCTTTGGTTGTATGTGTATGTGTGAGCATGAGGGAGGCAGTGTGTGACTGTGTCTGTGTATGACTATATATGTCAGGTGGGGCCTTTGACTCCTCCCCTCTCCTGGGACTTCTTTTGATGATATACATCTTTGTCTCCCCTCCCCCTGCCACACCTGGTGTGGAGTGCGGTAAGTTGGTCTGTGTTTGTGGCTCCCGGGTCAGGGGATTTAAGATTTTTGGCATCTGCCTGATTAATCCCGGTGGCTGCCTGGTGGGATCTGGGTCCCTCGGCTCTGTTGGGTCCCCGGCGGGGGTGGTCGCCCATGGGTCCCGGGTCGCTGGGTTCCGGGCTCGGCCGGCTGGGGTGTGGGAGGCTGCGGGCGGGCCTGTCGGCTTGCCGCTGATTTCTCCCGGGACTCTGCCGGCTGCTGGTTGTGGCCCCCCGGGGCGATCCTCTATGCTTCTCGAGGGGGGCGGGGGCTTTACTGGTCGCAGTCTCCTTGGGGTCCCTGTGCTCTGGGGTATCTCCTGGATCCCTGGGACTTGGAGCTCCCTCCATCTCCTACACATCATTGGGGGGCAGATCTGTTGCTCCTCACACTCTATTGGATGCTCCTATAGAGAAACCTTACTATAAAAGTGCATGTACACACACAGGTGCTCACATGGTGCTCTCATAAGTATGGACTTGGACACATTCAACACAGGTCTTAAGGCTGTGGTTTGCACTAAATGCACTGTGATTTATTATCATGTGATTGTTCAATAAAACAATGTTGATTTTATATTTCTTCATCAAGTTGATGCAGTGATAGCTTGCTCCTGTTGTATTGTGTGTCCCATTCCTGCAGGTCTAGAAGCAGACTCTTGTTGATCATTGATTGTTTATTTTTGTGGATATTATATTATTTGGGATATGAAAAAGTTGCATAGTATTCCTTTAAAGCAACCCTGAGTTTTGAACCTAGTGGTTGAATTTACTCTACCTTTAACTAATATGCAGTTACTGAAGTTGGAAAATACACATACATTTTTTCTCATCTGCATTTGGAGATGTGGAGACTCATTGTACCACTGATTACATTAGTTTCCCTGCTGTGAAACACCAGAGCTGATCACAAGTGGAACACTTTCAATGTTGCCTTCATGGCACCTTGTGCATTTCAGTCCCCTCACTACTGACCCAGACCAGCCAGGGAGGGTTCTGGTTCAGCTTGGATGAATGAGGATGGATCCGACTGGTCTCCTGGCAGGTTCCACTCCCAAATAGTAAAACAAGAACTTATGGATCGTGTTTTAATCAAAAAGTACTGGATACTATGAAATAAAAAGGTGAGAACATTATTTGTCCTTGATTGTAAATCAGAAAAATAGGTGCTTACTTTGGTTAAAGCTTCTTTCCGGAGTATTTCTCTTATCCGATGGCACCATCTAGTGGCTGACAAACATATCACACAAAAAATCTGTTGCTCTGTTTTTTTAAGATGGTGACTTCACATTTCTGTTTATAAATGAGCTTCTGTAGCCGACAAACAGCGAAAACACGTTGTTTTATGAGTATTATTCTCATGTCATGTTGTGTTCTCATATATTTATATTTTAGAGACTTACTTGTTCGTGAAAAGTTCATCAACTCTGCATCAGCCGAGGTATTCCTTAAATTTGAAGCATCTAAGCCAGGAGTGGGGAACCCTGGTCCTCGAGGGCCAGTATCCTGCATGTCTTTGCTCCAACACTTCTGATTCAGCGGTTGAATCACCTGTTCAGCAGCTCATCAAGCTCTGCAGGAGCCTGTTAATCACCTGCAAATTGAAATCAGGTGTGCTGAAGCAGGGTTGAAACTAAAATATGCTGGATAGTGGCTCTCGATGGACCAGGGTTCCCCACCCCTGATCTGAGCGGTAGTCCAACGCTATTGGTTAGTTCTGGTCGGCGCTCAGTGTCCTATTGCACGGAGCTCTGCGGGGCAGGAGGCGTGCTTAGCATAAAAAAAAAAGAACTATTGCTTGCATTTTATCACAGTACATGATGAGACAATCGCTTTTACGTATTTCTGAAAAATCATACATCATTTCCGAAAGGAGAAAACTCCAGAAAGCTGCTTTAAAGGAGTATGGGGCAGGATGAAGAAACGAAACTCATTAGCGACGCACTCGGCGCTGTGAGTAACTGCAGCCCGGCACGAGAGCGCGCACAAACTCTTCACGAGAAAAAAAAAAGTTACAGTGATGTACGGCCAGAGCACGGCTCGAACAAGGCACCGTGTCGAGCGATGAAGTAAGTAACATTGTTACTTTAGTCTAATATTTGTAAAGTTCCATGACAACATTAGCATTTTAATTTAGCCATGACACTCGTGATGTAAAGCAAGCGCTCCTTCCTATGAAATATTCATAAACCAGTTTTGTGACTGGTTAGCAAGACAGTAACATGATGCTACTTTATCAGCATAAGGCTTTGTGGCTGCAGGTGATTTCTGATGTTTTTAGACCAATTACAGTTATTATTTTGCACTAAGCTTACTAACAAGCTAATGTTATTGTTTATACATCATGTAAGAACATCCAGTTTCAAGTCACTGACATCATTTGTGAAACCAATTTCATTACAGGACAGGCATCACAACAATGTAAATAAGAACATAAATATCAATGTTTAGTTCAAAAATGCATCAAAATAAAATCATAATATCAACAAGACCTACAGGGTAATAGTCATTTTTCCATTACTGTCATTTATTTTCAGGAATTCATATTGGAAGCAGTGATGGAAGACAGTTCAGATGGAGTGTGCCCGAGCCTGCCACAGACTTTGATGTGTCGTGGGAAAGTCTGAGACCAGGGGCTAAAGGAAAGGGGAGAGGAAAAGGTCGCTCCGAGGGTCGGGGAAGGACACGCTCAAGGGGTGAGGGCAGCAGGTTGAGGTCCAGAGCTCCTTCAAGAGGACCAGGGCGCCGGGGCAGGCAGCCAACAGCTTTCAGAGAAGAGGACCGAGACCGGCTTGCACAGCTGAGAGCTGCCAGTATAGCTGAGATGCAGGTTGGTTGTAGCCATTTGTGTAAAAAAATAAAATAAAATAATAGATGCCAAAAACGAAAACATCACTCACTGGAGATATGAATCTAGTCATGTAAACATATGCTCTTTAATTTCTAGACAGCTTTACAACACCTGAGCCAGGAGGAGAGAGATTATATTCTCGAGAGAGTGGTGACCCGTCTTCCAGGGGTGATGCTGGATATCCTGGAGTTTCGGCAAGAGACGCCAGGACACCATCTTCCTGACTGAGGGCAGCCTAACCCAAAAATCCAAACCGTTTATCTACAACTACAGTAGTTCCAAAACAGCACAATACCTCAAAATAACTTTAGCTGAAGACAGCATTTTCACCCAAAAATGAACAAACAGTTTGTGCAATATATTTATTTTTATTTATGTACAAAAAAGTTCTGTTATTTGCATTTGTACATAGTATTTTTTCTTAATTTCTAATAAATCTGTGTGCATGAAAGAAGTCATTCCTGTCTCTTGATGCTTCACATAGCTGGGGCCTTTATGGAGAGAGAACAGCAGCATTAGATCTTACATAGATTACATGAGAATGCAATTCTGGAAACTCTCCAGTTCTGAAGTTGGCCTGTAAAAAAACAAAAGCTACAACTTTATAGATTATTAGGAATCACTCTTTTGATTGCCTTTTCACCCACAATTGTCATTTCTATATGTAAATTTTCAGCTTTGATATTGACACTTTAGCTTTTTTGCTTATGAAAATGTTATTAATATACCTAAAGGTCAGATTGGTGGCATCCTTCAACCAGTGTCTGTTGAACATGATTCGTTGAAGAGCCTCGTGTGGTGGAGATCCTGGCACCATGCCACGTTGCATCAAGTGGTCCATGGTCACATTTGCCACGGGTCCATTCATGCTTCCCTGTGACATGGTGAAGCACACCCACCCACATGTCCTAACAGAAAAAATAAGTTTTATTTGAAAACTTTACATGTGACAGAAGCGCTCACCAACAGAAACACGAGAGCTGGCACTATTATGAAAAGAAAGGTAATTATGTCAATGTGCATTGTTGTCTTGTTGTCCAAAAGATGTCACAATACTTACATTAAACATATCACGATGTTGTGCTTTCTGGCAAATGTACCAAAATTGGTTGAAGATGTCCTTCAGCCACACAAGTAGGATGGAAATTCCCTTTAGGATCCCAGCCTGTGAACAAGGATAAAACAACAATTCCATCTTTTAGTTCTTTTTAAAACATAGAAGGGTTTTATTTACCTGCAACGTTTTGTTTGCGGCTGCAAACTTCGTCAGCCTGACAAAGTTTTCATAACAGTTCTATTCTGTTATGAAAACAATAAATAAAAGTAGAATTAATATATTGTTTTAAGACTTTGGAGTTTAAAAAAAGTGTAGATAAGAATAGGGCTGGGAAATATGGCCTCAAATCTATATTGCGATATAATCTGAAGCATGTGCAGTAACGATATATATTGCGATATATTTTTTCATCTGTTTATAGATGTCAAATTGACATGCTTTTACATATCCTCATGTGGCAAATATATGCCACTTGAGGCATATAGGCCTCCTCCTCCGCCCACTCCATGCTTGCAGTCATCGCCATTCTGTTGTCCCATTGTCAGCAGGGTGCACATCTTAGTGACGTCATGTGTTATCACAATATCGCCGTATTGCGATATAGCCAAAAACTATCATTACCTGTTACAGACGTTGTCTGTTTTGTGGCCACAAGGTGGCCTCAGAGCTCCTACCTGTTCACCTGGCTCTAGCTGAGCCAGGTGTCGCTAATCTTCTCAGTCAGGGAGCTTCCTATAAAAGGCAGCTCCCTCTGTCATTCGAGGAGGGAAGCTTAGCAGAGGCCTGGTGTTAAAGCGAGTGTTCCTCTTTTTCCCTCCTAGCAAACCAGACGTTAAAGTCTTCGTTTTGATTACCTGTGTGGTACACTTCCTAGTAGCCAGAGCTCGTTTTTGTCTCCATTAGAATACTCGTTAAAGAGTTCAGCTCACCCTTTTGGTGTAGCCTTTTGTGTTTGTCTCATTCCTTTACTTTCCTGGATTAGTACCGGCGTTTTGTGTTTATTTATAGTATTGTTATTTACCCAGTATTGGATGATCCTTCTGTTTAGTATTGTTAATTCCCCAGTGGGACGTCCTTTTGGTTTTGTATTCATTTTGTCTTAGCCTGCATAAAGCAGTGTTTTTTAGTTAATAAACTCCTCTAAGAGAGTAAATCTTGGTTTTGTCCGGTAATTCACATATCTTTCTTTACGCCCCCTTTAACATCATCTCCTAGACGAGCTGGGGGCCGTAAAATTACCCAATTTTATATCATTTCTACCTTATATCGTTTATATTGCTCACCCCTAGATAAGAAGACATTGCAACTCACACACTGTTGAGTAAGTTGTTTGCTTGGTCCTCATCAATTTGGACTGCATCCGTAGCTAGATCCATGGATTTGAAACTACAGACAACACAATAATATTTGTTGTACGTAAAGATAAATACTGGAACTTACCTGAAATGGTACTGATTCTAAAGAGATAAATGTGGAGCCTAATACATCTGTCATTAATTCTTTCTGCAAATAACAACAATCTGCTGTGAATTGACACTTCACAACATAAATATATATAATGACCTATATTTGTTTATCTATTGTGTTTTTATCTTTTTTGCACATAGTACAGCAGTAATTTCCTGCATATATGGCAAGACTTCTCATGAACATATTTACCTTTCTTCAAAAGGATCCAAATCTAGGTCATCAGCTAAGGCCTCAACACCAGCCATTAGAAAATCTTCCCTGTAAAGACAATGTCAGAAGTGTTTGGTGGTGTGATGTTAGTTCTGAACCAAGTGTGGATATGCAAGGTGTAATTTAATGTATGAAATATCATAGCACAAAAACGTGAATATTTGTTTTACAGAAAAGATACTAACCCCTCAGACTAGGGCTGCTCGATTATGGCAAAAATAATAATCACGATTATGGTGACTGAAATTGAGATCACGATTATTTAGGACGATTTTTCAATTTATGTTGATTTTATTTGTTTTTATTCAGTCATAAAATTGCTCAGGGCACAATCAGGACAAAAATAAGAAACAAGATGATCACTAAAAGAACTCCTGATTCCCTGTATAAAAGACCAATATACTTATAGCTCATAGTCTATGACCCAAGGGCTGTAGACGTTGGTTTAACTCATGTAAGTCTAACCAGTACAGAACCAAATACCAATATCTTGCAAATACTGACAGCAAGAATTATACAGTGGCATTTATAACAAATAAATGCAAATAAATTGATGTTCACAAAATGTTGCATAACATTTATTGAGTTGTGTCAAGGTGCTGTAGGAGAGTGCACTAGCACCGTGTCCTCAGAGAGATTAGTTATTATTTATCAGCGTGAGGAAGTTATTTCTACCTTATTTACAAACTATTTATTTACAAGTCCATCAGTTAATGTAATAATTGTCCCAACCACAGCTGCACCCCCCACCCCCCAACCCGGTCTCACAGCAATCAGGGGCAAGCTGCACGTGTGTTTAGCGCGCCGCACGCGCACATTTAGCTGTTTTTAGCGGCTCAGGAGTCCGCAGGTGCGGTGTGTGTGTCACTCACTCTGGTTACTCCAACAGGGAGCAGGGCGGCTCCGAGAGCTGTCTTTAGCGACCGACACATCACTACATCATTCCCTTTCCTAATGTCCTGAAGAACGGTCTGGAGCGCAGGCGGAGTGTTTAGCTAACCTGCAGGAAACGTCGACGATAGTTATCCAGAAAGTAGCTAAGGGTTACCAGAGATGTTTCTGAGGTGTTCGCTAGGTACTTTTAGGATTAAAAAGTCAAGAAGGGGGTCTGAAAAGCTGTTAGAAATAGCGTCAAAGTCGCTAAGTTGGCAACACTGTGGAGGAGCGCTTCATTTGCAACTCAGGGCAGCGCAAGCGGGAGGAGCAAATAATCGGCTTGTTTTGTTTTTTATAATCGTTCAAAACTCAGATCGTAATCGTGATTAAAATTCGATTAATTGAGCAGCCCTACCTCAGACACAGGTTCAGTTGGGAGATAATCGATGCGACATTTTAGCTGCTGTTCACTTACTGGGTGTCGAGGTGGACTGCACATAACCTCCCTGAATTGCAGTTTCAGGAGCCTGCTTCTTCCGGTAGCTGGAAAACACATTTTTAAGCAAAAATGTCAACAAGTTGGTTGAGACTCTACACCTTCTGTTTACATAGATCAATAATGGCTAAGCACAACTAGTAATATGAAAATGCAGGTCAGTCATAAAAAAATTATTTATCATTTTCACAAACATATTTTATTCTGACCTACATTCAACTGGACAAATTTAGAAAAATAAACACAAACTTCTGCACAACTTTACTTTTAGTCAAACGTGTTGTTATGGCTGACTTATTATTTATTCTTATGTAGCACAGCAATAGCGCTAGGGAAATATATTCTGATGGGGTTCTGTTACACAAACCCCACGAATAACATTATCTACTGAAGTAACAGTCCTGCTTAGAGGTTGGACTGTAGATCAAATATGACATAATTCTAAAGACTCATCTTTGGTTTGGAAAATGTCCGTTCTCTTCTACAAACTGAAGCGTGATCGCAGCTAACATGCTAACGCACGCTAGCTCTCTCCGGCTGAGCGGTATAATCAAATCAAGCTCTGTTTACTTTTCTCGTCAGAATAAACGGAACATCCATTTATCTCCAAACACATGCGGCGTGTCGTCCACAAAACGTAGAAGTGATCTGATTACACCTTAGTTGCTTTTAGCTTTTTTAAACTGATCAGGAAGCCATATGCTAAACACCGTTAGCTTATAGATAAGTTTCTTGTTCATCTGCACAAAGATTTGTTAGATTACCTAAATCAGCATTATCTAAATCCATGAGTTTAATTTTATTTTCTCAAATTGTGCAGATACAGCTCTGATGTTTACCTACTCGTTACTGAAACCTACAGCAGACATAAGGAGACCAACACTTACCTGCTCACTAGAAAATGTGCCATGTCCGCATCCTTTTTCAGGCACCAAATCCAGTTGAAGCAGGCTCCATTTTTCCAGAGCGTAACCAATAGATATTCGGGTCCCTGACCGACTTTTATCATATTTTCTTTTTGACTCTCGAGATGCCGCTGATAAAACCTTTTTCTTTGTGCCACTCTTTAGTGGGCTTTGAGTTGCGCTTGGTCGTTTGCTAGTTGTAGAATCCATTTCCAGGGTTCTTCCTCTTCTGTTTGGGGTTTTAACGTGGCTAGTAGTGAAAGACGCATTACCGCCACCTAGCAAGCTTCCAAATGTTTTTCCGGGTTTGAACCTTGTCGAGAACGCGCTTGAAGCGTCAAATAACGTCACATCCTTAAAACAGCGCGGGAAATTCGGATGTGACATGTTTTGCATTTTGAAGCACACAGCCTGTTTAACAAAATGGAATGATAAACTGGTTTCATCATTCTTTTTAGTTTAAAATGCTTCATCACCCATAAGCTTCACAAGAATGAACATTTACTTTTTGTTTTTGGACAATTCTGCCCCATGCTCCTTTAATGTCCTTGCTCTAATGATGCATATTGTAAAAATGAAGTGAGAATGACAACCGGTGGTCAAATGTGGGTACTGCAGTCAATTTTCTAAACAAATGAGTGACTTAGTCAATCTCTAGAAAATGTTAGATGATGAGTGAAAATGAGTCATACACAGTAGACAAATAAATTTCCCTTTAATATCGAGTTGTTGGTAAATTAAAAAAATGCTTAAGATTTTTTATATCCAACTCTTTATTTAGCTCAACATTAGCCTCTAGCCTTCTTCACCTGATTTAGTGTAAAACAAAAAGATGCTGTGGCTACTTAAGGGTACAACAAATAGCTTCTGGGTCGCTCCTGTTACTGGCTTTGGTTCTTTACAGAACACGGCTATGTTTTGCTGGCTGGCATCAATGCAGCAGTGTTAGCTCATACAGACTCAGCAACCCTGTGGTCTCAAATGTAAACAAAGACTACATCCCTCTTGGCAATTTTGAAAGGAGAACTTGCAACCCCCCCACCCCCCCACCCCCGCCCACCCAGCCGGCTGAGAAGTCAAACTGGTTCAATGCAATCTTCCTTCCATCAAGATTGATACATTAGACTGCTTCATGATCATTTAATTGTAAAATTCTCACATATTGTGCCTTTTAACCATCATCATGTGTAGACAGTTCTTTTCATTACCAAATAAGATAGCCCTAAGCGCTGCAAACTACTTAGCATCGTAAAAGTCTGTTAAAAAGCAAAAAATAAAAATAGTTAAATAATAAAAGCTTCAAACTAAAATACACAATTAAACACATCTGCCAGTTTATTTGTATGACAAAAAAGTGAATAAATGAAAATGCATATTCAATCTACTCATAAAACAGTAAGAGAGGAGCAGGCCTAACTTCCACCAGAAGCTCCGAAGACTGAAAAAAACACAATCACCCCTCAATTTCAGACGTGTTGTTGGCACTTCCTATCCTTGACCATGCACTCTTGCATTTACCTAAATGTTTTTGCATCTCTTTTTCCTTTGTTTAATTGACACTTGTACGGTGGTGGGATGGGGACTTCAGCCCTCAAAATGCTTAAAACCGGCCCTGGTAGCCTTCCTACAACAGGTGGCAGAATTTAATTGTCTGTTTCGCCAATCCTAAACCGCGTGTTGCTGTAATAAATGTCTCCCCCTCCATCCAAACCCTGAACATACAAGGATGTTTAAAATCGCGTCTGTAAGTGTCACGCTACACCATCAGCAGTGGGAATAAGTGGATGTAAGGCAGCAGCTCGCGCCCGCCCTCCTGTTTTCGCATCTCATTAAGTGAGTCCCGTTGTAGGTGAAGCTGCCTCTCTCTGCCAGACTGAAGCAGGTGTCCAACATGGCGAACGCTGGCAGCGGCTCTCTCGCGACTATTCTCTTTCTCTTCATCTTCCAAGCGGCTCTTCTCAAAGGTAGGACTTTGCTGCTGACGCCCGACTGGAATACGCCCTTTGTTCTCAGATTCCCGCGGATGTCGATGCTGAGGAGCGACTCTGGTTTTTTATTTTTATCGGGAGTGTGTTTGAACGTGCGCGGAAGAGCGTGTGAATCCAGCCGAGATGTTGTTGACCAAGTAGGAAAACCTCTGCGTAAAGTTGACGCGAGGCGCACAAAACGCACATTCTTGGCTTTTCGTGTACAAATACGCGTGAGAGAGGCGCTGCCCAGCCGACACATCACTTTGGACAGCTTACCGTTTGGCTACAGAGGCTAAAAACCTTCACAGCTGGGAACTCCTGAAGAGAATTCTCCTCGTTTTGGAAGTGTCCCGTTTGTTGGATGTGGGGAATGCGGCCAAACACGTGACGTGTTTAGTTTGGTGTTTACTGCTCCGTGCGTTAGCCTGGTCACTTTTGTTGGAAGCTTCAGAGCGGACCGTGCTGTAAACCAGAGCCCAGCAGCGCGTGAAAGTGCACCATGCAGTAGCCCCCGTTCCCTGCAGCGGACTCCGTCCACAAGCTAGCTCCTTTAAGGTTATCCCCTCGACGCGCTCAAACAGTACACCCAATAACCGATTGCATGCTAAGGTGTGAACAGCTCGTCGTGTAGAACAGTTCGGCGCAAAAACAGGTCGCAAATTTGCACTTGTGTTTGTTTAATATTCTATTTTAAACGCGTTGAACGTCCAGCTCAATAGAAAGGCGACTGGAGAGGATGCGCATTCAAGTGTGGACTAAACATGTCCTGCTTGGTGCTTTAAATGTGCGTCGAAATTAAAAGCTTTAGCGGAAAAACACGTTTTAGCGCAAGCATCCCTCTGATGCGAGGCAACTTTTACAGGGATATGAGAAAATGTGTCATTTCCCGAGTTGTAATTGTCGGATGCGCTCCTTCCTCTTCTTTTATTTATTACACCGGAGCTGGATTTGCAGAAGCTCGTTCATGAAAACATCAAAGGTTTGATGCGGGTGTTGTAGTCGGAACGAGATGGTTTCAAGGAGCGTTTGGCTCCAGATGAAGCTGCTCAGAGAGAAGACTGCGACACTGTTCTCTCCGCTTTTTCGCCTCTGAAATGTTGTGGTCAGCGTTGGAGAGTTGGCGCTCTGCGGAACAGCCGCACACCTTCATTTCACTAAAGATGGGAAAGAAAAAAAGTCAATGTTTAACCACGGGGCAGCGCGGATGTGGACCTTTGCGGATTGCTCAGGATGCCGCTGGTTTCACCCTCCAAGTGTGTTCAGGCTGTAATGAATGATCACTAACTTGCGTTTCCTCTGTGCAAAACCATGAAAATATCCTTTTGCATCAATTTGAGCCTGATTCTCATGACAGATGCTTTTGGATCACCCTTAAGGCTTTAATCCACTGATATTGGTGTTGGTTTATATATTTGTTGCAGTGAACCAGCTGTGTCGTGGTGTGGACATGCTGCTTTACCTTCATGATAATGGCTCCACTGGTTTCACACAGAGCTCAGGGCTCACTTGCACAAAGCATATCAATTATTCACTTCTAGATGCATTCTGTAAGATTACATTGTGCACAGTTTTATATAAATATAAATTTTTTTTCTTCAATGCAAACACATGAGAAATTGGCACATCCATGCTGGTTTGAGCTAGTTTCCCTCTTAAAATCAATAATTTATGCCAAAAAAAAGTTTCAGATTTTCTGTTGCAAAGTGTGCACCATCTCTGCCTGCACGTCTCCTTTCACAGAGATTTCATTGTAAGGTAGTTACCCTCCAAAAAACCTTAAGGTCTGTTAATAACCCCATCAGTTTAGACCAGGTGACTCAAAGTAGAATGAAGTGGCTGCTTTGATCTCAGCTGGTTGAATATTTCTAATGCAGCCTTTAGTAGAGGAGTTTTTTTTGGAGCATCACCTTTTAAAATGAGATTAATCAGGATTCATATATGTAAGGTCAGAGTAAACTTCTCTGTAAGTTAAGTTCTTTTATTATTAACCTTTATAATAAAGTCATGTTTATCAAGATGTCCTAATAAATCGAGCAATGGAACAGTGTGATGAGGCGGTGTTTACTCTATCAGAGTTTTCTGAATCTAAATGACTTTTTCCTTCCATCTTTTCCTCGTTGTGCGACATATTTCAAACATTGTCAAGGAGCAAAGTTTCTGAAAAGGTGACTGGAGGCAGCGTTTCATACTGAAGGGGGTCTCCATCTTTTATAGCAAAACTTTGATGTTGCTAGATCCTCAGAAGTGTAATTAAAACTCAGACTGGTTTGAGTCTGAAGTCATTCTGGAGTCAAACTTAAAGGGACAGTTCAGATAATTTGAACTAGATTTCTGTGTAAAGGTGACTCATTAATTGTTGAGCAACCTCAGTTTGGAGAAAAAGATAAATCTTGACTGGATTGATGAGCTAACGACTAGTCACATCGGGCCAAGTTTCAAAGTGGCTTATTTTAAATAACTCTGATCTCAGATGTGTTAGCAGTTAATGAAGATGCTTCTTTCCCCTAATGTACAATTCTTTGGGATTTAGTGGTGCAGACATTTCTAAGGAGTTGGTTTCAGAATGTAATGGTGCATTCCATTTACCATTTATAACCAGTCTGATCTCTGAATAGTGTGTACTGAAACTCTAATTTCCCTCTGGGATTAATAAAGTATTGATTGATTGATTTGATTGACTATGGTATGACCTGCTCATTGGCCTAGTGGTATGAGTGTTCGTCCTGGGACTGGGAGGTCAGGGGTTCAAATCCACAGTTGGGTCATACCAAAGGCTTTAAAAGGAAACTTTGCAAATTTTCATAGTTTTTAATCCTGAGCCAGTATGTGCTAAAATGACTCTTTACAGGGTTAAAAAAAAGCCACCCGACCCCTATCGCCTCCCTGTGGCCAGAATATTCCACTTGCAACTTCAGACTGGCAGGCCGCTCTGTTGGGACTGAGGAAACAATTGAGCTGACATACCTGGCACTGCAGTCTGGTTCTAGAACACGTGTCAGATACAAGGCCCGCGGGCCAGATGTGGCCCGCAATATACTTTTATGTGGCCCGTGAGATATTCAAGTGTCTTTAAAATAAGTCTATGCAGCTTCAAAGCGCACATTGGCAATAAACTACATTTCCCATAATGCATGGCGATCGTGTTCCCAGTGCAGTGACTCACCACTAGATCACCACTTCCATGTTTAATTAATGCAACAAGGGAAAGTAACTGTCCACACATCATCCCAAAATGTCCAGGAAGAGAAAGATTGATGCAGAAGGAAGGTGTTTCAACAAAGATGGAACATGTTGATGCTTTAAGGAGATGATCCGGTATGTCTTTATAGTCATTAGCATCCATGCTACTAGCATCAGCGTCTGCAGCGTTACCTCCTCTGCCTTGGATGAACTGAAAACACTCCTCTTACTCAGCGCCAAGATTACTCAGTAATTAGTCGACATTGAAGCCCAGAAATGGATTTTAACAGCTCAGTAATCTGTTTGCTGCTGACGTAGAAAGCACACCGACCAACTTCCAGACCGAGATGATTTAACTCAAGTTTAGCGACGTGCTCAAGTCAGTATGACTCTGTGGCTGCTAGGGTCGTCACGGTGTGAAAATTTAACCTCACGGTTATTGTGACCAAAATTACCACGGTTTTCGGTATTATCGCGGTATTTTTTGTAAATGTGTTACATTTTCACACAATTAAATAAACCCTGTATGTCAGGAAATATTGTCCTCAATTTGTGTCTAAATTTGGCCTAAAATGTGTTATTTTGTAATTATGTTGTTTATTTGTTTACATTTTTGCCCTTTAGTCTTTAAAACACCAATATATGCCCACAACTTCTTATTTTTTGTCTGATGTCATCATTTTAAAAATATTAGATCAGATGATACTCAGTACTCAAGTAGCCTTCAGATACTTTTTTTACCCTTACTTGAGTAATAAACCCTATATCAGGAAAGTATTGTCCTCGGTTTGTGTCCTTCCAGTGAGCTTTGCAGATGTGGGAAAATGTCATCAGGCAGTAATCATTGTTAAATTCATAATTATTCTCGGAGAGAGACCAACTCTTATCTGCCCCTGGGAGCCCCGTAATGCATAGCGTCATTTCAGCATGGGGGTGTCCGCGACACGGTTTATATCCAATCCAATTCCAATCCAATTTTATTTATAAAGCGCATTCACAAGGCATTACAACCAAACAAGGCGCTGTACACTAAAAATGTTAGTTAATCAAACCGGCGGTATACAAACCGAAATACCCCTGTAGCGGCGCTGCGGCTGCTTTATATAGCGACTCGTTGCATTCTCTCTGCCTGCTGCCTTTCACAGACACTTTTTCTGCACGTGCTGCAAACAGGATAGCCGTCTTCTATCAACTGTCCCTCGGCATTCTTCAGATATCCAAAAGATGCCCGTACTTCCCACCTTGTCTTCTTTGAGGGATAATAAATGTCCTCCTGAGCGCTGCCGTCTCCTCCTTTGGCCATTATTTCAGCTTTAGCTTCAAGAAAGTTTTGGTTGTAAACAACAAAGTGTGCATGTGCCGCCGGCAACTTCAGCAGATGATACGGTGGCTGGTAAGGGTCACCGCGCCTACACCGCAGCTACGGTAATCCACCGAGATGATATAGTTTTTTTTTTTTAAAACAAGACGGTTATTATTATTGTCAACTTTTTTTTACCGGGGTTTACTGCTACACCGGTTACCGTGACAACCCTAGTGGCTGCTGCAACTTTTATCCGCCTCCCCGACACAACTGCGTTGTCCAGATGCTCTCCAGCTCTAAAATCGACTTGCTCGTGTGTAATTTGGTTATTCCACATTCAGTGTTACTGCAAAAATAAGTTTGTTTCCAAATGAAAAGGTTCAGCCGTTCATATCTGTAGATAAAGGAAGTGTGCACATTTATCGTCACTTTTTAAAATATTTTGAGTTTGCCCCGCGACTTCGTCCCAGTATTTCATTTTGGCCCAGTGTGAATTTGAGTTCAACACCCC